GTGGTGGAGTCCCCAGCCCTGGACGTGTCCAGGGAAGGACTGGCTGTGGCACTCAGTGCTCTGGGCTGGGGGACAAGGTGGGGACCTGGCACAGTGTGGACTCGATGGCCTTGGAGGTCTTTTCCAGCCTAAATGATTCCATGGTTCTGTGTTCCACGGCAGGTAACGGTGCTGGATCTTCAGCCAGGGCTTCCCGCAGGATGGATCTCACGGCAGCTGCAACCTGTGCCCTGCAGCTACACCAAACGATCTGTTCTGGAGGAACAGAGAGAAATTTGGACCAGACCAGCTCCCTAATCCCTCTGAAAGCCTTCCATGAGGCAGCTGAGCAGATGCCAGCCCTGCTGCTGTTCCAGCCACCTCCCTGCACAGCTCCTGTTACACCATCAGCTCCATCAGCTCCCTGAGCTGCCCAGGCAAGGACACGTGTGGGGGTTACATGACTGGGAGGTGGGAGAGAGCCTTTTCCTGACTCCATTTACAGGCATTGGATTGTAGTGGCAGCAGCTTCAGCAAGTGCACACAGACCAGGCTGGATGTGGGCCAGGTCTGCACATATCTGGCTGCTGACGCTGTGGTTGTATTTCCTTTGTTCTGTCACACTCCTGGACGGGGGACAGTTTATCCAAGAAGGTCAGTAGTCCCCAAGTACAGCTCGGTTATTAAAAGCTGTTAAGCCATTGAGAGACTGGCAATATCACCACAGGAGGCCCAGACAGGTCTCTTTAAACAGGCTCCATGATTAAATGATGCTCCATGCATCCCTAATCAAGTTTTGGCTTGCATGGCCTATTCCTTCCCCTGCATGTCCAGCTCAGCTCCAATTAGTTTCTGTCTTTAAATTGACCCCTCAAGCCCATTTTCCTGCAGTAAATACTTACTGTGCTGGTAAGGAAAGGCAGAAGAGACAGAAACTGAGCTTGAATTCTTGGCTAGATACGTAAGCAGGTGACTTAAACACTTGAGATGGCCAAAAAGAATGGATTTATCAGTACTGTGCCAAGGCACTGGGGTGCTCTGCTCTAGGGGGTGTGATTCCTGAGCAGGCACATAAAATGACTGATGTCTTAATAGGCATCCTGACATGTTGTAATGTTAGGCAGGTTTCTGGACAGATGTGGTCAATAGTTCCTCTTTCACACTGAGCCAGTCATGTCTTGAAGAGAGATTTTGGAGACAACGGCCTGGAGTGACAGGATGGGGGCCTTAGGTGAAGAAGGTGGAACAACCTGGACTAGTGGAGGGTGTCCCTGCCCATAATGACCTTTAGGGTGCCTTTCAGCCCCAACCAGTCTGTGATTCTATGATTGTATATCTCACGTAGGTTTTCCAGCCCTGGAGAAACAAATTGCCTTTGTCCTGGTCATTTTTCTCTTGCAAGGACAAAGTGCTCCATTTCTACATGAAAGTGCTAAAACATTCCCCTTAATCTCAGATCTCTATTTGAGATTAACCAAGGAGGAACAAGAACTGACATTTCTTGCCTGCAATCGCATTTCCTCTAGAAATGTTAGCAGACGACTCCTAGAAAATTGCTCGGGCCAAAGTGCTGGGAAGAGCGGGCAACATCGACACCTGCTGTTGGCACTTTTAATTGCTGCTGTTCCCAGGCAAAGCCACCAGGATTGCTGGGAAGCCGAGAGCATGAAAATAGTCAGGATGGGACGAGATAAAACACGGAGAATTGTTGCTTTTGCAGAAAGCTTTATTTAATCATTCTTATGCTGTGCAATTAGATCAGAGGGGTCTTTTGGCTGGAACAGGATTGGGATCTTCATGGCCAGTCCCCTGAATTGTTGCTTCCATGTTTAGGAGCTACAGGGACTTGAGGACTGGGCTGTTCACAGGTCTTGCAGGCTGAAAAGAAAGCAGGGAGCAGTTTGCCTTTGGGAAGGGACTCTGTTTGTCACGGCCCCTCGTGCCTGCCCTCCCTCCATGGCCCAGGGCGCTGCAGGCACAGCCGCTCTGGGGAGCTGCTGGAACGACCCCAGGGCCGTGTCCCTGCCCGGACTCACCGCTGCTCACAGACCAAGGCCCTTCTTAAGGGTGGAGATCAGGGGGTATTTGCCTTCGTGGCAGAAATTGCCAGTGAAGTCATCCAGGTCGATGGTCCAAACCATGGCCCCTCCAAAGTTGTTCTGCTTCAGCCAGTCAACCTGTTTGGGGCCGGCGAGAAATCCCGATCAGCCCCGGGAGCTGCTCCCACAGGAGCCTCCTGCCCCCTTCCCAGCACAGCCCCAGGGCCCACCAGACCTTGATGTTGAAGCTCTTCACGTCGTCGTAGCCAATCCACTCGTTGCCCTTGTAGGCATAGGGCACGTCCTCAGGGGCATCCCAAGCCTGGGTGGCTCCGGTGTTCAGGAATGTGCAGATCTAGGAAAGAAGGGCAGAGCAGCCCAAGTCAGCAGGTGACCTGCCAGAAAGGGCACGAGCAAGGTTTTCTGGGCTCAGAGCTCTTTGCTGGCAAGGCAGAGGATTGTTTTGCTGCTCTGGCTGTCCGGGGCTGAGGGCCACACGTACCTCATAGTAAGCCAAAAGCCCGGCCTCCCCGGTGTAAGGTCCTGCTGGCCCAGGGCCCGAGCTTGGGGCCCCAATGCCGTTGTTGGAGGGGTTCTGCAGGGTGAAGGTCTTGCCGTAGGTTGGGAAGCCAACCAGCAGCTTCTGAGCTGGGGCACCGTTGTTCTTCCAGTAGTTCATGGCATATTCCTGGAAAACCCCCCACACTTCCAGTCAGTGCCGGGCTTTGTGGGCAGCAGGAGCAGCTCAGTGACAGAGGCTCCCCAAATGTACTCACCACACTGAGAGTGCCGCTGCTGAACAGGGGGCTGTTCTCGCCAGTGGAGCCATCCCAGGGGCTGTGGAAGTCGTAGGTCATCACGTGGATGTAGTCCAGGTACCTGTGGAGAGCATTGTCCGTGTCCTGAGCCGCTCAGGCAGCAGAGCTGACAGTTCCTCCAGCGCTGGCTGGACCCCCCCTGTCACAGCCCGGCCACGGCCCCACTTCTGCACATCTGGGTCCCTTGGGGGCTCTTTGCAGCTTTGACTGCAGCGCTTGCAGGACACCAGTGCAGTCCCACAGTGATCCCAGGCTTTGCTACTCACTTCCCCAGCTCAGCAATCTCGTAGCCGGCCTGGATGGTGGAAAGTCCTGCAGCCACAGCCGCGGTGACCAAGAGACGGGGCTTGTTGGTCTGCCTGGCTTCCTGCTCAAAGGCTGCCAGCAGTTCCTGAGGGATGCCAAGGAACAGCTCTAACCCGGGGGCTCTGGGCTCAGGCTTTGCCTCTGCCCAGGCTCAGGCCAGAGCTGTGCCAGGCAGAGGCCTTGAGCAAACCCACCTTAACCAGGACGGTGAAGAGCCCCTTGTCCTGGGCTGGGCTGCCCCTGGAGCCGGGGTATTCCCAGTCCAGGTCCAGCCCATCGAATCCATACTGGCGCAGGAATCTGACAACAGAGGTGATGAAGGTCTGGCGGTTCTGGGGGGTGGAAACCATTGTAGTGAACCTGGGCAAGCAGAGCAGGAGAGACTTGGTGTTAGATTGGGGCCTCCTTCCATTCTCCCTCCCTTTCCAGGGCAACATTCTTGGAAAGAGGTAGTTTGAACTTACTTCTGTGTGCCGAAATTCCATCCTCCAATGGCCAGCAGGGTCTTCAGGTTTCTGTTCCTGCAAAGGAAGGGACAGCAACCTGTGTTACTGCAAGGCTTGTGTGGAGCTGTGGCTGTTGCAGGCAGTGTTCTTTTGGTGGGAAATGTGAACAGCAATTCCCCAGCACCCTGAGCCACTGTCCCCGTGCTCAGAGGAGCGGGGCTGTCCCCTGCCCTGCCCTGCCTTGCCCTCTGCTCCCAGGACGTACTGGTTCTTCAGGCCGTTGAAGGATTTGTAGAGGGTCTCGTCGTTCCATTCGTAAGTGGTGATCTCGTTGTTGTTCATCCCGGCAAAGGCGTAGATCAGGTGGCTGCACAGGTTGGGGTCGATGTTGTCAGGGGTGTATTTCCCCTCCCCAGGCCTGTACTGGGCCCAGTTGGTGAAGTAACATGTCAGCACGTAGGCAGTGCCTGTGGGGAGACAGAGGAGCTGGGGGGCTGCTCCAGAGGCACCAGTGGCTTCAGGCAGGGCATCAGGAGCAGAGCTGCTGGCAAGGCTGGGCAGGGGCAGGAGGGGGCAGGAGGGATGTCTGCAGAAGGGCCAGGCTGGTGGAAAGCTCTTTGTGTTGGCTGTGCCGCCTGTTTGCCCTGTCTGGGAGTGCTGGGGCTGGGAAGGGTTGGCAGGAGTTGTTTTAGGGAAGGAAGCACCTACTGAGGTGGGCGTTGAGCAGCAGGGCCAGACCTGGGAGGGCAAAGAAAGAACAAACCTGTCAGTGTTTGCATCCAGAAATACAAAGCTCATGTTGAAAGCAGAACAGATCCCCAGCAGCAGCACTTAACAAACAGAACCCTCCCTCCTTAAAGGAGGTTGTGAAATCTCTATTGAAAAGAAAGAGCAGCATTTTTATACCCCAAGCCCTGTGCAGGCACAAGTGTGACAGTGGCAGAGCCCCCAACACTTGTCAGAAAGGCAGAGAGCCCCAGGTTGGAGCGGCACTTACCGGTGAGCAGAGTGAGCTTGGCCATCTTGGACCAGAACTGATGTGCTGCAGAAAGTCTCCTGCTTTTATACCCTTCTCCCCTCTGCTGCCAATCTTGGGTCAACACGGATGGGTAAACATTACAATACTTGGCACAGATCAGGATCATTGGAAATGATACCAGGACAATGGGCCTGAACACTCCAGCTGGAGACTTCACTGGTGTCGGGTCGTGCCATGTCCTGGTGTTGCAAGAGGTGGTGAAGAAGCAGATTAGATTTCTGTTATTGTTTGGAGGTTTGTTCCCAGCGACAGGTTTGTGTCAGCGCTGGGACTGCGCAGTGACCGATGGCTGAAGTGTTTGCCCTTGGGCTGTCCTTGAGTCCTCCCACGGCCATGGAGCTGATCGGGATTTCTCACCATCCCCAAACAGGTTGACTGGCTGAAGCAGAACAATTTTGGAGGGGCCATGGTTTGGACCATCGACCTGGATGACTTCACTGGCAATTTCTGCCACGAAGGCAAATACCTCCTGATCTCCACCCTTAAGAAGGGCCTTGGTCTGTGAGCAGCGGTGAGTCCAGGCAGGGACACGGCCTTGGGGTCGTTCCAGCAGCTCCCCAGAGCGGCTGTGCCTGCAGCGCCCTGGGCCATGGAGGGAGGGCAGGCACGAGGGGCCGTGACAAACAGAGTCCCTTCCCAAAGGCAAACTGCTCCCTGCTTTCTTTTCAGCCTGCAAGACCTGTGAACAGCCCAGTCCTCAAGTCCCTGTAGCTCCTAAACATGGAAGTAACAGTTCAGGGGACTGGCCATGAAGATCCCAATCCTGTCCCAGCCAACAGACCCCTCTGATCTAATTGCACAGCATAAGAATGATTAAATAAAGCTTTCTGCAAAAGAAACAATCCTCTCTGTTTCAACTTTTCTCACGTTACTGTTTTGATGCTCCAACATTCTCTGGTGACATTCACACTTATGTCCAGGGAAGGGAAGAGCCTGAACCCACAGTGTGTATTTTAAGAGCTATAAACAGGCACTTTCCAGGGGTTTCTTGCTGTGCCAGCTGGGCAGGTAGTGAGAAGGAAAAAAACCAGAAGGAAGGGACAGGGAAGATCTTGAACGACTAGGAATATCAGATGGGCAGCCCAAACCAGGCCCAGCTCTCCCTGGGCTTTTGTTGGCACACTCACATCCAAATCCAGAGTGCAGCCAAGTGAGCTCAGTGACACCTCCACTTGGAAATGCAAAGCTGGATCTTGACTCTCCCAAGCCAAGGACCCATCTACCTCATGTCCACCTGCTCTGAGAGCAGGAATCTCAGCTCCTGGAGCGCTGCCATCACACAACCCCCCGTGTCAGCTCCAGCCTCCCTGTGCCAGCAGCCCAGGATCTGTTCCCCTGCACCCAGATAAGGGGTAGGACAGGGCTTTCCAAAACACAAGGTGCCATTGCATTAACTTTTCCATTTCTCCCCGTGGAGATTTCCACAGTGACCTCCACAGCAAGGGCAAGGGGAACAAAACAACCTCTCTGAAGCAATGGCTCAGGTACAGAGAGGTAAGCAGGGCTGGGGTGGCCGAGGTGTTTGGGAAAACAGCAGTTTTTAGAGAGTTTTAGAATTTTTAGAGAGCTGGGGCTTTTTTGGGGAGTTTTTAGCCGGTCAGCTGTTCAGGCAGATCTGAAGGAGGTGGGTGCAAGGCTCTACCAGTGCCAGGTCTGAACCTGCCAAACCTCTGGGCCAAAAAAGATGAAAAGCTTAAGGAACCATCCTGAAAGGAACAACATGAATATCAGGATCTCCGTTCCATGACCCATCAGAAACGAGCCCAGGCAGATGAAGGACAGACAGACTTATTCCAGCACAGCCACAGAATCAGCAGAATGACAATTTTATTTTGTGCACAGAGGGAAACTCAGCAGAAACAATCCAGAGTGGTGGATCTCTGCAAGCCAACACTTCAGCTGCTGGAACAGCGTGGAGGGTCCCTGTCTGCAGACTCGACTCTTTTAACTTGAATCCTTTTAGCAAGAACCAATTCTTCTGTCCTTAATTACCTACTACCATTCCCAAGGAGCCCATGGAAAAACACCTTTCTTTCTCCAGAAAGAAGGCAGGAAAAGTCCTGGAGGGAAACTCCAGGGCTTGACCAACTGCCATTTATTACCACCACATGCCAGCTAGTGTCCTTGAGCTTTCCCTTCCACACCAAAACAGACCTGAAAAGGCTCCAGAGGTTGCTGAGAGTGGGATTTTCCAAACCTATCCCAACTGAGTTTATACTGTGTTACTTTATCAACCAAGAAAAACTCTGGAAAAATCCCACTTGGAGATGGTTGTCTCGTTATCGGTCGTACGACACCCAGTGCCTGCACGAAACCCAAAGGGTCAGGCCAACACACTCTAATCTGCAGGTCATCCAACATGTGATGTGGGCAACTCTGAGGCTGTTTTCCAGGCTCCCATTCAGCCAAGCCTGGGTGACCTACTGGGAAAGGCACCTTCATGTCACCTGAACAGGAATTAAGGAACACCTGGGAGCAGAGCCACTGGCCACGTGCCCGCTGTGTCTTCACCATTTGCACAAGTCCTGAGTGTACAAAAGGAGAGAGACCACCTGTCTCCTCATGCACAGTAAGAGCTCTGATCTTGGGCTCCAGCAAATGCACAAGGAGACAAAGAACTTGTGCAGTACCTTTGTGTTGGCAGTGCCAGCGGCCGTGGGAGGACTCAAGGACAGCCCAAGGGCAAACACTTCAGCCATCGGTCACTGCGCAGTCCCAGCGCTGACACAAACCTGTCGCTGGGAACAAACCTCCAAACAATAACAGAAATCTAATCTGCTTCTTCACCACCTCTTGCAACACCAGGACATGGCACAACCCGACACCAGTGAAGTCTCCAGCTGGAGTGTTCAGGCCCATTGTCCTGGTATCATTTCCAATGATCCTGATCTGTGCCAAGTATTGTAATGTTTACCCATCCGTGTTGACCCAAGATTGGCAGCAGAGGGGAGAAGGGTATAAAAGCAGGAGACTTTCTGCAGCACATCAGTTCTGGTCCAAGATGGCCAAGCTCACTCTGCTCACCGGTAAGTGCCGCTGCAACCTGGGGCTCTCTGCCTTTCTGACAAGTGTTGGGGGCTCTGCCACTGTCACACTTGTGCCTGCACAGGGGTTGGGGTATAAAAATGCTGCTCTTTCTTTTCAATAGAGATTTCACAACCTCCTTTAAGGAGGGAGAGTTCTGTTTGTTAGTACTGCTGCTTTGAACATGAATAGAGTTCCTTGCAGTTGGAAAATGAAATGGGCTTTGGAACAAAAATCTAAAACTCCAACCTCTGCCTGATCACTTGTTTGGTTTCTTTTCTGTGCTTTTACCTGAAATCATTTGACAAATGTTACCCAGTGCCTCAGCCTGGGAATGCACAGAGTGTGGTGTGTTTGTTACAGAACGTGGGGATGGCAGGGTAAGGTCATTCTGGGTTCAACCCAGTCCTGCCCAGGAGCTTTGTATTTCTGGATGCAAACACTGACAGGTTTGTTCTTTCTTTGCCCTCCCAGGTCTGGCCCTGCTGCTCAACGCCCACCTCAGTAGGTGCTTCCTTCCCTAAAACAACTCCTGCCAACCCTTCCCAGCCCCAGCACTCCCAGACGGGGCAAACAGGCAGCACAGCCAACACAAAGAGCTTTCCACCAGCCTGGCCCTTCTGCAGACATCCCTCCTGCCCCCTCCTGCCCCTCGGGGCAGCCCAACCCAGCCCAGCCCAGCACAGCACAGCACAGCCCAAGGAAACTCTGCCCAGCCTTGCCAGCAGCTCTGCTCCTGATGCCCTGCCTGAAGCCACTGGTGTCTCTGGAGCAGCCCCCCAGCTCCTCTGTCTCCCCACAGGCACTGCCTACGTGCTGACATGTTACTTCACCAACTGGGCCCAGTACAGGCCTGGCCTGGGCAAATACACACCCGAAAATGTTGACCCTTGCCTGTGCAACCACCTGATCTACGCCTTCGCCGGGATGAACAACAACGAGATCACCACTTACGAATGGAACGACGAGACCCTCTACAAATCCTTCAACGGCCTGAAGAACCAGTACGTCCTGGGAGCAGAGGGCAGGGCTTGTTTTCCCTCCCAGGTCCTGCCCTGTTGTTCTCCTTCTGCTCTCTGCAGCACCCTGGGGAAGGGATACCAGGAGAGAAGGCAGAGAGTGATGGGCAGGGGAACAGCCCCGCTCCTCTGAGCATGGTGACAGTGCTCAGGGTACTGTGGACTTCAAATAACTCTGGTACCTGTCCCTTCCTTTGCAGGAACAAAGATCTGAAGACACTCCTGGCTATTGGAGGATGGAATTTTGGCACACAGAAGTAAGTTCAAACCATGTCCTGCCCACAAAAGCACCCTGGAAAGGGAAGGAGAGGAGGAAGATACTCCAAACAAAGCCCAACTCTCTCCTGCTCTGCTTGCCCAGGTTCACTACAATGGTTTCCTCTGCTGACAACCGCCAGACCTTCATCAAGTCTGTCATCAAATTCCTGCGCCAGTACCAGTTTGATGGGCTGGACCTGGACTGGGAATACCCTGGCTCCAGGGGCAGCCCAGCCCAGGACAAGGGGCTCTTCACCGTCCTGGTTAAGGTGGGTTTTGGTCTGCTCAGCACAGCCTTGGCCAGAGCCCTGGGCAGATGGAAAGTCTGAGAGCTGTTCCTTGGCATCCCTCAGGAACTGCTGGCAGCCTTTGAGCAGGAAGCCAAACAGACCAACCAGCCCCGTCTCTTGGTCACTGCGGCTGTGGCTGCAGGACTTTCCACCATCCAGGCTGGCTACGAGATTGCTGAGATTGGGAAGTGAGTAGCAAAGCCTGGGATCACTTGGGGGACTGGTTTGGTTTCCTGCAAGTGCTGCAGTCAGAGCTCCAAAGATGTGCAGAAGTGGGGCCGTGGCCGGGCTGTGACAGGGGGGGAGCGGCCAGCGCTGGAGGAACCGTCAGCTCTGGTGCCTGAGCGGCTCAGGACACGGACAATGCTCTCCACAGGTACCTGGACTACATCCACGTCATGACCTACGACTTCCATGGCTCCTGGGAGAGGAACACTGGTGAGAACAGCCCCCTGTACGCAGGCCCAGCTGACACCGGTGACTACAAGTACTTCAATGTCGTAAGTGTGTTTGTGAGACACAAGCCCAGCTCCCCGCTCTGTGCTTGCACCAAGGAGGAGATATTGAGGAATTCATCATCCTGCCTGCAAACCTGGGCAAAGACTTCAACAGGAATGTTTTCTTGCAGGAATATGCTATGAATTACTGGAAGGACAACGGTGCCCCAGCTGAGAAGCTCCTTGTTGGCTTCCCAACCTATGGAAAAAGCTTCACCCTGCAGAACCCATCTGACACCTCTGTTGGGGCTCCAGCATCCGGCCCTGGACCAGCTGGACCTTACACCAGGGAGGCTGGAACACTGGCTTACTATGAGGTAATTGTGTCTAATCACATTCCTTGTTCAAATCATTTGAGGGAACGGCTCAGGAAGGCACCCATGGAGCTTTCTGAATGGCTGCCTTAGACAAAAAAAACTGTCCCTAGAATTGCTAAGAAAAAGTTACTTGTTCTCAGGGACCAGACAAATGACACAAAACTAGAGAATAAAGTCAAGACAATGGCAGAGCCTGGACTTTTCCCTTTTTGAGATTAACATTCCACCTCTTGCTGCTTCTCCCTAGATCTGCTCTCTCTTGAGCTCTGGAGCCACTCAGGCTTGGGATGAACCCCAGGACGTGCCCTATGCCTACAAGGAGAGCGAGTGGGTTGGCTATGACAACATGAAGAGCTTCAGCATCAAGGTCTGGTGGGCCCTGGGGCTGTGCTGGGAAGGGGGCAGGAGGCTCCTGCGGGAGCAGCTCCCGGGGCTGATCGGGATTTCTCCACGGCCCCAAACAGGTTGACTGGCTGAAGAAGAACAACTTTGGAGGCGCCATGGTCTGGGCCCTTGACATGGATGACTTCACTGGCACTTTCTGCAATGAAGGCAAATACCCCCTGATCTCCACCCTGAAGAAGGGCCTTGGTCTGCAGAACGGCGGTGAGTGCTTTGAGTGCATGAGCAGCTCCTTGAGGAGAGCTCCCCGTGAAGGGAGGGGAGGGCTGGGACTCTGTCAACACAAAAATAAGCCCTTTCCTGCTTTGCTTGCAGACTGTGTGCCTCCCGCTGAGCCCCTGCCTCCAATCACTGAGGCTCCCACTACCACAAGTGGCAGCGGGAGCGGCGGCTCTGGCGGGAGCGGCGGCTCTGGCGGGAGCGGCTTCTGCGCCGGCAAAGCCAACGGCATCTACGCGGACCCAGAGAACAACAGGAACTTCTACAACTGCTTGAACGGCCAGACCTTCGTGCAGAGCTGCCAACAGGGGCTCGTCTTCGACCCCCTCTGCTCCTGCTGCAACTGGCCATGAAGCTCCTAACCCTGTTCCAGCCAGCAGACCCCTCTGATCCGACTGTACACAGTGACGATTAAATAAAGTTTTCTGCAAACGCCACAATCCTCCCTGTTCTAATTCGTTCCATTCTTGATATTGTGATGCTTCCTGATTCTCCCATGGTACTCAAACTTGTGCTCAGGGAAGGGCTTGAATCCACAGGCTGGACTTAATTCCCATATGGCATTTTCCGGGGCTTTCTTGCTGCCCTACCCCGACAGCCACGGGGAAGCAGAGAGGAGCTCACGGGGGGAAGCAGAAGGGTCGTGACATCACAACCCCCCCAGGCTGCTTCCCCCAGCCCCGAGCACATTCCACAGGGCAGTTACACACCCTCAGCTTTCCCCTCCACGTGCTGCAGTCACCTCCAGCAGCCCCTGCTGTGTCTACAGCAACTGCAGCACAGGCAGGGCAGGATGGCAGGTGGGCAGGAGCCAAGGGGTGAGAGCTGTGCCAGGTGGGGGCACCCGGGGGGGCTCTGGGCTCGAGGCTTTTCTTCTCTCACAGCTCCCTCCCCACTGGCATCAGCTTCCCCAGCAACCTCCCCCGACTGGGCTGCTCATCACTCCCTCCTGCCTGGGGAAAACAGGCCTTTGTGGCAGGAGGGAACAGCATCCAAAGGGCAGATCCCCCCCACATACCCAGGGTCAGGGGAAGCTCCCATCTGGGAGGTGAGGGGGTGGTTGGCCTCAGGCAGAGAGCAGCAGACACTTCAGGTAAAAAAGCAGCAGGGGGTCACCTCTATTTTATCTTTTTTCCTTTTTTTTATCCCACTGGTGGCACTTCCCTCTGCAGGTCCCTCAGCTGTGCAGAAGCATGTCTCATTTGGGACAACTCAGGAAAGGAGGATGTTCCCCTACTACTTCGCCCCAGACAGGCTGGGGATTGAGGTGATGGCTGTCGGGGGAAACCCTCTGGTTGGGCCAGGCTGTTACCTGGGCCAGGAGGTGAGTTGTTTGAGTGCTGTGGTCCTTTGCAGCACACACAGGACAGGAGCCCTAGGGCCATGGCCAGCCCCACACCTGCCCTGCAGACCCCCTGCAGGATGTCTCCACATAAACCTGGAAAAAAATTCCCCTCCCTTCCCAACATGCCAGTCCTTAAAGCTCCACAGCAGTGAGAAAACAGGGGAGTTAATAAGAATAGCATCAACAGGAATAGAATCAGTAGGAATAACATCAATAGGAACAACATCTGCTGCTCGTGTACTTCTGCCCTGCAAGTGGTGTCTTTGAAATGTCAGCCAGACACTTCTGCTTTCGGATTGCAGACACCCATCCTGAAATCCTCTCTGAGCACCAGGCCCATGAGCAGCAAGGGTTACGTGATGGGAGCGAGGACAGGCCCGCGCTTCATGCCCACCAGTCGGGTGAGGAGCGGGGAGTTCTGAGCTTTTAACGCTCTCAGGGCAGCCAAAGTGTTGAAGAGCAGGTCTGTAGGACCCAGCTGGCTGCCCTGGGCACGTGGGAATGGTTTGCACAGCCAGCTGTTCCCTCAAAACGTTCTCCCCCCTGCAGACGGTGACCCCTGGCCCCGCAGCGTACGAGCCCTTCTGGATGGAAAAGAGGAAGTGCCAGCCTGCCCATGCCCCCTTTTCCTCCAGCACACCACGATTTCCATCCAGGCCTCCAGACAGAGAACTGTTCCCTGGGTAACATAACTCATTTTCTTACAGTTTTCACATGGATGGGAGATAAGAAACCGAGTTCTCAGTGAAGCCTTTTTAGCTTCAAAAAGCTCCCCTGCTTTAGTCTTTGGCTTAGCACCATGACTAGAACACCACAACATGCATTTCTCCCATGGATCTCCCCCCTGTTGCTCTGCTGAAAGCAAAAAACTCACTTAGAGCACAGGCTGAAGTTCTCAACACCATCCCACATCTCCCTTTTCTATGGCACCATCATTGCTATTAACAAATAGTTGTATTTTAGACGACCATCAACAGGTCACTGAGGTAAATTCTGTTTTATAAAGATCATACACCAGCTCCAGAATTGAGACACTTCGTGCCTGTTTTCTTTAGACCTGGAACTTACAACGTGGAGCAGCCACTGAACAAAAAAGTCACTTGGCCGATGAGGTTTGGGTCTCCAGACTGGTCTTCAGTGCCCAAGCCACCAAAGAAGATGGTAAAAAGGGAGGTGCAGGAGGTAAGGACAGGGATGAGGGGATGTAATTCCTGGGTCAAGGCTTCTGAGAAAGGAAATTTCCTGGCAACTTTGCATCTGCACTACTTTTGTTATGCTTTCCTTACCTGTCTGGGGCACAAGACACGGAGTGATCTCCCGTGAGAAAACACCTGTTTGCAAAACCAGCCACAGCCCTTCAAAAAACCCTTCTATTAAAGAAATTTCCTCCGGAAGTTTCCGCCCACGAGGTGAAGCGAAGCAGAGCCTCGACTGCCCCGTGGAGCTCTGCTGAGGGGAAACACTCATTTAAAACACGGGTTGAGGTTCCTGACGCCGTCTCACACCTTCCTTTTTCCGAAGTTTGAATGGTTGTCTTTCAGATGACCATAGACAAAGAATCCAAGAAGCACCAGGGGCGACTGGCCTACCTGAAGCTGCACTTTGGCTGAGGGGCTGGGCTGTGCCCCCCCTCCCCTGGAGACACCCCAGGCTCAATGAACCACTAAAGTGTTCCAAGGATTTTAAAAGCTGAGTAAAATCGTTTCAAGCAGAGGGATTTCTGCCTGCTGGTCATCTCATCTGGGTGTGATCACAGCCTTGGTGTGGTGCCAGGGAGAACTAAGAGCAGGCAGCACTCACTCTGGGTGTAACTACAGCCTTTCTGATTTCCTGGCTTCATTTACCCGTTTCTGGAGCAAATTTCACCTGCAGTCCAGTTTCAGCTGCAAACCCAAAATACATTCTTCCAGTTTCCCACTTTCAGGCTTCGAGAGCTCTCACAGATGTACCACAACAGCTGCTCACAGGCTTTTTGGGGCACGTTGGTTCCCTCCCTCCCTCCCTGCCAACCACAGGACCCACCTGCCCAAACGGGGATGTAGCTGTTGGTTCACAGCTGCCCCTTTGGGTGCAAGATTTTGGATGAAGGGGGTATGACCCCCTGGAATTTTTACTGTCCTAAAACCTGGGGTTTATGGCTGTTTAAGGCCTTACCCTTGTATTCATGGCAGACATTGTATTTCACCTCCCTCTGTCTGGCTTTTCTGATCAGGAGAAAAAGAGGTGTGAGAAGATTAACAAAGTCAGCAGCACCTGAGATTTTTCACCATGTTCCACCTGTGGCTGGAGAAACCCTCTACTAAAGTTTTTGCCAGACTGCTGGGATTTCAAAGGGCCCTTTGTTGCCATTTCTGACAAAATTCCCAACCTTCTCAGCTATCAAATGTTCCTTAAGAGAGAAGAGATGCAGAGGAAAGGACAAGACCTCCTGCTCTCACACCCCCCCAACAGAAAACACACTCAGGCTCCATTCAGGTCCTTTTCCACTCTTAAAACTTGAAGGACTCAGCCAGTTTTGGTCTTAGGAGATAAATTTTCTTTTATTATGAACATAAAAATTACAATTTTCATTCTACATTTTTTCCCTCCCCAGCGAGGGATTTTCTCATTGCGAGAAAAGCTTAATCCAGGTAAAAAAAGATAGAACCTTTGATATGTACATAAATACACAGTATCTCTGTACATCTGTCATTCTGTACAACCAAGGCACCAGCAGAAGTGACAATGGCACACGCAGAGGACCTCTGAGAGATCTAATTTCAGACTGTCCGGCAGGAACATCTCCATTCTCACTGAAATAGTTATTCCCTCTTCTCTTCCTCCTCCCTGGGTGATGGGGGAAGAGGGAGGCCTGGGAGGAACCTTTAACTGCACAGAGGTGAACATGAACACCTTGGGATCTTTGAGAGACTGGACCAAACCACAGGAGTCTTTAGTCCAAAAAAATGTCCAGTATTTTCCCTAAGAAAATGTTGAAGGAAAATTAAAGCAAAGTCCTCCAGAACCAGCTCATAATTACAACACTCCCCTCATCAGCCGTTTTCACTGCTGAAATAAAGTCTTCTGCTCTGGGGAAATAAAAGGGGGGAAAAGAGGAACTTCTGTTGATAGAAGCACATATTTGAGAGTGGATAAAATGAAAGAAATGTGATCACTAGCACAGCCTCGCAGCCTGCAATCAATGCAGCTTTATTCCACATTCCAAGTTCCAAAACAACTGGGGAAGGCGTGAACTCTCCAAGGGCTTGTGCTGGGTTGAAAGGAACAAAAGAACTGAAAAGCAGCCCGAAGCAGCTGTGAAACGTTGCCAGTCATTCTGCTGGAAAGTGATCTCAAAGCAGGGCAGGGTAAACACCACATTGAGAGCTTTTAAGTCCCAAGTGCAGCTGCAGTCAGCAAAGTGAGAATAAAACGCCAACTTAGCTCTTATATTTACACTTCACTCCTTGCTGACACATCAGACACCTTGAGTTTATAAAAGAAAAGTCTGTTTGTTTTTACCTGCCAAGAATGCCAAGAAAGAAACCTCCCTGGGATTCTTCTGTCTCTGTTAACACACATTCCTTAGAATTAAAGCCTGGCAGGGTTGAGGGCAGAAGTTTCCCTCCCTGCCTGCCAGGCAGCCACGCACCAGTGATGCCTTTGTGTTCTGCAGAGCCTGCTGGGGAGCAGGAAAACCCTGGTGTGCCCCAGCTCCAACCCTGGTGTCCCCCAGCTCTTCAGAGAGCAAAATCCTGCCCACAGTGGAAAGAAAGTAAAGTCCCCCCCGGACAAATCCCACCTGTGAGCCCTTCAGTGCTTTGACCATAACTGACCATCAGCCATTCCAAGTCAGCAGGAGAGCAAAGGGGAATCCTGGAAACCAGGATGAGAGTGGAGTTCACTCTGCAGAGGGACCATTCCTGGGCCACTCAGTTGGACTGCCTCTCCTGAACCCTCCTTCTCTGAGCAGCCACAGGAACTCCAGCCCCACCTCACTTCTTCCTGCGGATTTTGGGCTTTTTCACTGGTCGGAGGTAGGGATTGTCTATCACATTCTCCTCCCCATTCCTGCTGCCTGCCAGGGAGGTGTTCTGCTGTAACACTGAGGCGTTTTCCTTCTCAGGTCCCGAATCATCCTGTACAAAAGAAAAAACACAAACCCAAACCACCAGAGTTACACAAAACAAGGCTTAGAAATCTTTCTACCCAGAGAAGCTGTGGCTGCCCCATCCCTGGAAGTGTCCAAGGCCAGGCTGGACAGGGCTTGGAGCAACCTGGGCTAGTGGAAGGTGTCCCTGCCCATGGCAGGAGGGTGGAACTAGGTGATATTTGAGGTCCCTTTCACCCCAAACCATTCCACAATTCTAAGTTCAAACCACATAACCTGTGGGCAGAAGAGACAATCAACAGCAGCACACAAGGAGCTGCACTGAGGGTGAGGCTTCCTGATCTCTAGCACAAGAAGATCCCTTGGGGAAGAACCAGGTTTCAGAAGCTCAGGGCAGAGGGGCCCAAGGGCTGCCCCAGGGGGGTTGTACCGTGCTCATGTGCAGCGGGAGGTTCTCGGTGTCCGTCTGCTCGTCCTGCTCCGACGAATCCGTCTCTTCCATCTGCTGCATCTCCAGCTCAGAGGGCAGAAGAGCTGTCAGGTAGGGGACAGTGAAAGGCCTGGCAGCAATCACTGGAGTCAGGGCAAAGGACACAGTCAGCGAGCTGGGAGAAAACCACCACCCCCCCTCAAAAATTAGGAAGCACAAAAGAGAATAAACACTTCCACTGGTTCTGGCTTTAAACACACACCACCTCCTCCTGCTGCTCCCAGGGATCAGGAACGAAATATGCTGCCCCTATAAGATGGCAGTCTCTAATTTCCTATTTTCTGAGGCCCCTTGATGTTTCCAACATTATTCCAAGACAAAAAAATCCTTCCTGACCTCCACAAAAGTTCCATTCTCTCACAGGCTGAAGCATCCCTTGGTTCCCCTTTAAGTTAACACTGACACCTGTGCTGTCAGTGAGCCTTGAGGAGGTGGGAATTCTCATCACTGCTTTGCAGTCAGAGAAACAGGAAAGCCTCCACTACCACTAAAATGTCAGAAGGAAGAAATTACTTGTTCAAAGGTTACAGTGGATGAGCTTTGAATTTAGCCCTTCTCAGCCTTCTCCACGAGCAGAAGACAGTGAGCCATAGTGAGGGTAGAAGCCTTCTTTTGGTTTTCATCCCCCTTTTAAATACAAAATTCCTCATTTCCCTCAGGGAATAACACAGTGTGATTATCCAGAGCTCACCTCCTGCAGCAGCAAGAACCCCAAGGCGGGGGGGATTTGCTCAGGGACACTCATTCAGGGCACAGAGAGCCCCGGAAAACTCACGTGGGAACGTGCTGACGTCGTCCTTGAAGAGGCTCTGGGTCTCCCCTGTCTTGGCCATGAACCGTGTGAGAGCCCTCTCCACGTCCCGCCGCTGGGAAGCCGCCTTTTCCCTCAGGACCTGGTAGTCGGACACGGGCTCCCGGTACGTCTGTGGGGCAGGAAGGGAACAGCTCCCGGTCAGAGCACGGCACCGAGGGAGGAGCTGCAGGCACGCTCTGACCTTCACCACTGACAGGCTCCTGGAGAGCTCCAGGCGTCCATCAGCCAGAAATCCAGGGATCCTGGCTGATTCCTGGACAGCAAGGGATGTCCCCGAGCCAAGGGACGTACAAAGCAGAAGAAGCAATGCTTTGGAGGGACAGCACCAGCACTGCAGTAAAAACACATCATCCCTGCTGTTCTGGACTCCAAACAGCCCCCAAACGGCACAAAAATCCTGGTTTCACTCACCGGGGTCTTGATGTAAGTGTGGGGATCTGGGAACTCTGGGAAATGGCCAGGGATGTGGGATGGGTGAGGCTTGTTCTGTCCAGCTGTCAGGGCTTTGGGAGTCACGGGCTGGTTTGTCACAGGAGCTACAGGAGTTAAAAAGCACAGAAATCAGGGGGCTTCCTCCTGCCCAGGGCCAGGCAAAAAGTGCTGCAGGCTGAGCTGGGACCCACATCCCCAGGCCCTGCCCAAGAAAAAAACCCAACCCTGCCCCAGGAGGCTGTGTTTGGTATTCCAGAGGGGAACTGGGATCACTTGGCCCCTCCCTCCCACACAAGGAGAACAAAACCATCCCCAGGACTCTGGTGTGCAGTGAGGGCACTGGTGTGAAGTGACTCCTCCTTCACCTCTCACAGTGTCAACTACCAAACTGCACCTCCAGGAGCTCTGGAATGTGGGAATGAGCTCTGCATCATCCCTCAGAAAGCAGGGGCCCTCTGGAAGCCAGCAGAGAGGATTTCCCACGTACGGGCAGTGATGACCATCCTCTGGGAGCGCTTGGCGTACGCAGGAAGGGTCTCAACATTGAACCCTGGAACAGAGAGGGGAAATAGGAGTCACACCAGGAGTTTAACCTGGTCAAAAATGACAAGCAAAGCTGGAATGAGCAGGAACAGCCAACCACTCACCCATTTCCACCAGAGTAACCACGATATCCGAGAGCGTGGGCTGGGTCCTGGCTGTGTGCTCGCAGTAGGACTTGGCACTCCTTCCAATTTCTGAGATATCTGAGGGAACAAAACCACCACATTTTTAATTCCTACAGTGCCCACACTTGTATCAGCCCAAGCCCAGCTTCAGGGATGGGAATTTTTAACAAATGTGGCAAGGAATGAGAAACAGCTCCCGGAATGGAGCGTCCTGCAGACTGGGTATTTAAAATGGAGACACTAAAGATTAAAGAGTCAGATGTTTTCCACAAATGCAAAAGGTAAATCTGCATCACAGGCATGAAAAAAAAAACAAACCCAGAAGCTGATTATTTCTTGACTTCATAAAAATCAGCAGGTCCCCAGAGAGGGAGGAGCAGGGGCATTTCATGAACTAATGGCTGGAATGTTGGTGTTTCTCTGTTCATTCTGGCAGCATCTCAGCATGTGGAGCTGCTGTGAGCATCTGATGAGTCCTCACTTCAGGAGCTGGAGCAAACCCAAAGTGCCACAGAGCTGACTCCAGGGCCGCACTCCAGCCACCAACCCAGCCTTCCTGCAACACCCTTTACCACCAGAGAACAAAAACGAGGGAAAAAAAACCCCAGCAACCAGCGAAGGAGCAAAGGGCAGCGAGAGAACGAGCGGGGCACTCACAGCTCTGGATCATCTCGGTGAGCGTCTCCACCGCCGCCTTCTCGGCGCTCTCGAAGCCCGCCTCGGTCAGCAGGGAGCTCACCACGACCTGCAGCGTCCGCCGCCGCGCCAGGTGGTAATTGTCGGCCGGGGTGCCCGCCTGCTTGCTGCCAGGGCGCTGCACAGCGGGGACGGCCTCAGGGCACGGCCCAGGGACAGGGAACGGGCAGGGATGGGGAATGGGAACGGGAAAGAGCAGGGGCTGGGAAGGGGCAGGAGTAGGGAATGGGAAGGGACAGGGAGCAGGGGCAGGGAATGGGAATGGGAAGGGTCTGGGAGCAGGTATTGGGACAGACCCAGAAGTAGGTAATGGAAAGGATTTAGGAACAGTAATGGGAAGGGTCAAGAGCAAGTAATGGGAAGGGGCAGGGAACAGGTGCTGGGAAGGGTCTGGGAGCAGGTACTGCCCTGGGAGCCCCAGGGAGTGGGGACTCGGCGGGGCTGAGGGGCTCAAGGGCAGGAACGCACACACATGTACACACATGTACACACCTGTACATACATGTACACACCTGCACACACATATGTACACACATGTACACACGTACACACATGCACACACATATGTACACACACGTACACACATGCACACACACATGTACACACACATGTACACACACATGCACACACACATGCACACACATATGTACACACACGTACACACATGCACACACATATGTACACACACATATGCACACACACACGTACACACATGTACACACATATGTACAGTGTACACAGATGCACACACATATGTACACACACATGTACACACATGCACACACACATACATGTAACCCCCCCGGACTTTTGGCCGCGGCCCCTTTAAGAACCCGCCGCACGCGGCAATCAAACCCCGCCCCCCTCCGGGCCCTTCAGCCAATCAGCGCCTCCCTCCCTCGGGCCGCCGCCCCCGCTCCCCTTGGCCGGTCCTGGCCCTGCCCCGCGCCCCGGGGGCACCGGGCACTGCCGCCCCGCCCGGCCCCGCCGCCGGCCCCGCCACCGCGGCCCCGCGCCCCGGGACCGGCCGCCCTCACCGTGCCGGAGCCGCTGGACGCCGCGTCGGCCATCTTGGAGCCATGTGGAGCTGTGCGCGTGCGCCAGGAGCCGGCGGGGGCCGGGCGGGTGCGCGGGGCACTATGGGAGTTGTAGTTCGGGAGAGGAGGGGGCACGTGGGGCAACAGCTGGATCCACGCACAGCTGGATCACACACACCTGGATCACACACACACACACCTGGATCCCTGCACACCTGGATCCCTCCATCCAGTCCAACCCCCCTGCCAAGGCAGGGTCACCTGGAGCAGGTGACACAGAGGTGTGTCCAGGTGGGGTTTAGAATGAAGGTGTTATAATGTCCAGGTGGTGTTTATAACACAGACAGTTCAGCTCCAGGGCACACGAGCCTCGAGTGTTTTGCCAAGCCAGTAATGTCTGCACAGACACTCCTCGACATCCTGATTTCCTGCATCCCTAAGGCTTGTTAATTCCGGGATGTCCTGGAGCCAGGGATGGAACTGCTGCCCGTGCCCCTGAGCAGCTCTCCCTTCCTGCTGGTTGGGCTTGAAAGCACACAAGTTCTTCCATCAAAGAACATCCTGACCTGAGCCAGTCCTGTCATACTCCACGTGCTGCAGCAAGCCCAGCCCGTGCCTCTGCAGGGAACACAAACCTCCCGGCCTGGCACCACGTTCCCGCTTGGAAATGATGTACTGAACCCCCTCTGGAAGCCCCAGGAGCCCTGTAACCAAGGGAGCAGTGAGGGTTTCCAGGAGCCCTGTAACCACGGGAGCAGAGAGGGTTTCCTGTTGTAAGCACTGTGTGTTCCGAGCTGCTCCCCGGTGTGACCACCCCGTGCACTCACACGGCTGAGATCAAAGCTCTGCTCTCCCCAAAGTGTCTCACAAAGCACAGGAAACCCCCCCCCTGCAGCTCCCACCCCTCTCTTCCTGTTCTAGCACATGTGTGGGAGAGCAAGAGCACTGTGAGAACCAATTGCTGCCCATGAGAGGGAGAGGGGGGGGAAAAGTGATGTAAACAACAGCTGCCACGCTGGGAATTAAAGGTCCTGGGTGCACTGGGGCTGGGTGGCAGCACAGCTCCCACAGGCCCTCACCTGCAGGAGCACCAGAATCCCTGCAAAGATGGGGAAAGGAGGAGGCAGAGGAAGGGGGAGGTTGGATGGCTCCAGGCAAACACACCTGCTGGAGCAAAGCAAACCTCTGGAGCACCAAAGGTAGGAGGCCAAGGGGTTTTGGGGGCTGCCAGTGTGCTGGGGGGGGATCTCCTGCCTTCTGGGTTCGGGGATGACAGAGCTGTGGGCAGGGCTGGTGGGGCAGGATTGTGCCAGGGATGTTCAGAGTTCCCTGCAGTGGCTGTGGGGGGCTCTGGGGGTCTGGCTGGGGTGTGTTGTGCCAGGCTGTGGTGCCACCCTGTCCCCTCAGCAGGGAGGGGTTTGTGTGCCAGGGCTGGGGGTGCAGGGGCTGCCCAGCGTGGGCTGAGGGGATGGAGAGCTGAGTTCAGGGGTAGGAACACAAAATTCCAGACTGGTTTGGGCGGGAAGAGACCTTGAAGCCCATCCAGTGCCACCCCCTGCCATGGGCAGAGACACCTTCCACCAGCCCAGGTTGCTCCAAGCCCCGTCCAGCCTTGGACACTCCAGGGATGGGGCACCTGTTATTTTTGAGCAGGGGAGATGCTCAGCACAGCAGAAGAGCCCACAGAAGGCTGGGGGTGTGACCGTGATGTTCTGAAATCTCAGCCTGGAGAGAGGTGGGTGATGAGGTGGGAATCACTGAGCTCAGCGCAGGGGGGGAATTTTGCAGCCTGTGTCGGGAATTTGTCAGAGTAAAGCTTGAAGAGGTTTATTCTCATGTCCCGCTGTGCCTGTGGCCTCCCGAGATGTGCCCTGGTCGGAGCAGCTGGTCCCCCAAGGAGGCAGGTGCAGGGTCTATCCCAGCCCTGCTGCCACCAGAGGGCACGTCGTGACCGCGATGTTCTGCGTTCTGAGCCACCTGATTCGGAAGCCAAAATCACCCCCAGCGAATTCATGGAGATCCTCGCCCCCCTCAGCTGCGAGGGTGCCACCAAAAACCCCACTTGTTCCTGAAAACTCCCCTGAGCCCCCCTAATTCCTCGACTGACCAAACCTGGGGGGGGGGTTGTGGTGCAGTTTAATAATAATAATTGCACTTGACAGGCAAAGGGAGGGAATAAACTGCTCCTCTGAGAATGTTTTGGGGTTTTATCCCCCCTAAGGACATTGGCTTGTGCCTTGCAGGAATGAAAACTCAGCCACGGAGAGGTTATAACCACGTTGGGGCTGTTGGTTTTTATTATTTTGCTTACAGTTTTGAGAAAGTTTTTATATTTGGGGAATACTATTTGTTTGTTAGTCCAGAGTAGCAGAGGTGGTGTTGTTTGCAATGTACCTGGGGAGTTGGTCAAGGCTGTCTAAGTAAAAGATTTCTTCTTCTCTTGTTTGGAGGTTTGGAGGTTTGTTGTTTGTTGTACAGGAGGCTGGTCCAGAAAGGATTTCCCAGCGAGGTGTGGGGATGTGGATCAACTCTCTGGATAGTTCTGAGAGGTCCCATCTGGAATTTAGACTCAATTTCCAGAAGATGCAACAGGGCACAGGGAGGGGAGGAGAGCTCCCAGAATGCAAAACACCTCTCGGGGTGTGAGTTAAGTGTTCCAGGGTGGAATTTTCAGAGTAAAGCTTGGAGAGGTTCAGCCAAACCTCTAAATGACCACAGGGGAGAAGGTGTCTGTGGTGGAGGCTCTTTGATCTCACAGAGACATAACAAGATGCAGGTGCTGGGAGTGCAGAGCAGCACTGTGAGAGCAGAAATCAGCTGCATCCCTCGCAGGGGAAGGGAATCGGGCTCCTGGGGGGTGCAGCGTGCTCCCAAAATGCCAGGAAAGCTGACTGTGTTTGGAGAGTGCTGTTGATCTGCAGATAACTGGACAGGTGCTCCCAGCCCCTGACAGACAGTCCCAGCTGGATCCTCCCCAGCTGGTCCTGGCAGTGTCTGTGCTGGAGTGGGACCCCAGAGGGTCCCTGGCTCAGCTCCCCCACTCCGTGTCTCCTTCAGCAAGGCTTGCTCCGTGAGGATGAGCCTGTAGGAGCAAGGAGGTCCCAGGAGCTCTGTCTGGCCGGGCTGGGATGTCAGAGCATCTTTCCTGCTCCCATCACCCATCCCTGGGATGATCGGCGTTTGCTGGGCCTTTTATTTCAACATTCGGCCGATGTGCAAACTGTTCCTTCCACTGCCCCAGCTCATGAGTCAGTGCCATATCTAATCCTCCAGGCATTTCACCCCCACTCCAGGCTGGCCAGAGCCTCTGCTGCAGATCTTGCTCAGCTCCTCCTGCCTCCCCAGTGACTCAGGGGATGTTCTGCTCCCTTCTGTCCCTCTGCCCGAGCTCTGGGGTCCAAAGGTGACGAGGAGGTGGATTAAAGCTGCTTTTGTGCAACTGGTTTCATGTGAACTTTGTTTTCAGAGGGAATTCTGAGGTGTTGTTTTGCTGAGAGAAGAGGCAGAGGAGCCCTCCAGGTTTAGGGGATGCTCCCCAGTGCAGATTCCTACAGAAAACACAAGTGGTCCTCACGTTCTCTCCTCTTCTCACTCATTGACTGAGCAGGTCAAACACAACGTGTGGTCGCAGCAAACCCAAATTATCCCTGTTTGCTGACCCCTGTGGCCACACTGGGTATATTTTGCCATGGGCCATGAGCCCGTTCCCCACCTCAGGTGCCTGCCTGTATTTAAATGTCGTTTCCAGAGGCTCAGAGGTTGGGGCTGTCAGAGGAAGTGCTGCGCACACAGAGGGCACCCTCGGAATGCAGATGGCAGTGAAGCCAGGGCAGTGCCTGCTGCTGCACACACTTCTGGCTCACACCTTGCCAGGTGAAGCCCCTGTGCCCCCAGAGAGCTCTGTGCTGTGTGTTCCCATGGGATTGTGCAGAGGGAGGTGCTGGTGGTCCCAGGGGATCACATCATCCCCCCAGAGCAGGAGCCTCACACAGGGCACTCACCACACCGGGGCTTCTCTGCTGGCTGTGACAATCCCCACTGTCACTGCAGGAAACCACACCCAGGGTGGTGCCTGCTCAGGGCAGGAGTGGGGGAGGAATCCTGCTCCTCCATGCACAACCCTGGGGCTGGGGTGGTGGGATGGGCTGTGGGCAGCTCCCACATTCCCCGTGGAGCATCCAGGGCCAGCCCAGTCATTCCTGCAGCGGATCATGGGCTGACCTGGCTCTGCTTCAGAGCAGAAGGACATGAAGGTCTGGAGAACTCTCCTGAGCCATGGCGGTGTGTGCTGATCCCAGCCAGGCCTGGGCTCCTGCTCGAGCACTTCCCATCTCGGAGGGACGAGGGGAATGTTTGGGGGGGGTTGAGGAGCCTCAGCCATGGACATGGCTGGTGAATCCTCCCAGGTTGGACTTGGGGGGTTTGGAGGGGCTTCCCACACGGATGGGGGATGTGGTGCAAACTTCCTTTGCTGCTGGGAACGGAGCAGAGCCTTGGAGGGCCTGGCTCTGGCTCTGCTCGTGGGCTTTGTGCCCAACAGTGCCCTTCCCTTGCTGGGGGTGTTCTTACCCATCTTTGCAATGGGATGGGGGGAAACAGCTGAAGAACCAGCAGTGG